ATGATTACTTTAGCAAACGTGAGGAAATAGTTAATGGCATCCATGGTGCACCAGTAATAGCCAAAGAGTACATAGGTGGGCAAACATCAATAGGGAATAGAATTAAGGTGTCTACTCTTATGGGTGGCTGGGATGTGCATGAAATTCCTTATGTATATGAAGTTAGCCGAGATGAATTTAAGCGAGAATCCAAATCCTCGATTAGCAAGGGATTTGCAAGTGGAAGTGGTGGTCCACATGTTTGGAAATACCTGAATCGTTGCAATCTGAAAGTCCAGAATTCAAATGAATTGTTACAACATTTGATAAGAGCTTTATTATATGCAGCCCTTTTTGATGAATGTAGCGGTGGATACGTGCGTGTGTTTCAGGTAACAAAAACAGACGCTATGAAGGTATATGACCGACCGGTTCTGCAAGCGCTTTTTGATGATCATTACGATGCCTTAGCTAAATATCTTTCCAATTCATTGTTCTTCCTCTTTGACACAAATGATTACAAGTATACACATGACATTAATGCAAAAGTTAATAAAGGATTCGAAAGACAGTTTATAAAAAAGAAATATAAGGGGAATGTTGTCATAAAGCGAGGAACACCATATATTGTACGACTGGTACATTTTAACAAACGAATTGATAAACTATATGCGAAGCTGAAACGAAAAACTGGTCAACGTACTGTGCCTCGCGAATTTCAAGATCTAGAGTCAGTTGAAATTGAAAAAATTGGTAAGGTTCCTATTTTGTGTGGTATGGTAACACTGGAGTTGGTGGGGAAGATACACGACTTGCCTGTAGCAGTTTGATATTCGTCCAGACGTAGCTGATAAAGTTGGTCCAAACAGGCCACCTAAGCCTCCCCTTGTTCAGAAGCCACCCTCATCACCGCCTGCTGAATTGGGAGCAATCGGAGCAACGACTGAAGACATACTTAGTACTTCTGCATAGTGAGAGACATACCAACGATTTAGTTAGTTAATAGATTGGAGGATTTATTTTATATATGCGGTATATGGCATATGCCTCTTCAATAGTATTTTATTTTTCTTTATAATCCAATGAAACGTTTGTTGAAAATATATATATATATATATCAAACTCATTTTCTTCTTTTTTAAATGATTCAATAAACTTATAAAAATATCATATATTTTACGATTCCAGTTAAATTATTTGCCTTTGTAGATTTTGCATTACATATTAATTTATATAATTTCAGAATTTAAAATATCTAAGACCATTTTCAATTGAATGGGACAAGTCATGAATTGGGGAACTTAAAAATTTGCGAATAAGGAATTGGAATCAAATCAAGTACTCCCCCTAGTTGATCTTATTCCTAGTTTGAACGATATTTGATTACGGATTTACCAGAGAACTCCTGTAATTTTGTATTTCATTTGTGTAAGTGGGGAAGTAAGGAATTAGAATCATTCAAATGCTCACGTGTCTTAAACATATAGAGGAAGAAATAATTGAAATAGTTCTAATACCCATTATTATGTAGTAGTTTGGAGCAATTGCTTCCTAGAAGAGATCCTGGGCTCGAGTTCTAGCATCCAGAGGCAGCCCTGAGGGTGTGCAAGTGGTGCCACCGCACAGGACCCCCAATTTTTAAGGGCCCCAAAATTTTTTCACGTGTATATTATGTATATTAATATTATAGGTACTAGTCTCTCCGCACGCGCTTCTGCGCTTGCAAGAGGCTTTTTTATTTATTTAAAATATTTAAATTTATTTTAGAATTAAAAAAGATAATGGGTAATTGTGTTCCATAAAAATAGAATACATTATTTTTCTTTTAATTTTAATTTTTTTAAATATGAAAAAGTGTGAATTTACCATATTATCCTTATTTAATTAATAATTTCAATTCTTAATGTTTGCATTAACTAAGGGAATTTTATGGTATTTTGAATGTTTCACCATTCTCTGCCTTTTGCTTTATATATATAGATTATATATACTAGCCCCTTGTCATGCTCACGCATGAACCAATTGGTTTTATTTTTTATTTTTTATTTTACTTTTAGTAGTAAGAAAAGATAACATGGGTAGTTATCTATATATATAAAGCAAAAGGCAGAGAATGGTGAAACATTCAAAAACCCCAAATATGCCCTTAGTTAATGCAAACATTAAGAATTCAATTTATTAACTAAATGAGGATAATATGGTAAATTCACACTTTTTCATATTTAAATAAAATTAAAATTAAAAGAAAAATCAGATAATGGATTCTATTTTTATGGAACACAACTACCCATTATCTTTTTTAATTCTAAAATAAATTTTGAAATTTTAAAAAAATGCCTCTCGCAAGCGCGAAAGCGCGTGCGGAGAGGCTAGTGTTCCATAAAAGTAGGACTTATTATCTTATTTTGTTTTTTATTTTAATTTTTTTCAATATAAAAAAATGTGAAATTACCATATTATCCTCATTTAATTAATAATTTCAATTCTTAATGTTTGAATTAATTAGTATTTTGAATGTTTTACTATTCTTTGCCTTTTGCTTTATATATATAGATACTTGAGCGTGCAAGAAAGTAACACAAAAGTGTGTATTTGGTTGAGTTGGAATTCAACCCTTAATTTTAGTAGGCAAGTTGGGTTCAAGTCCATGTTGTGTCATGCAGTAGTTGTATTTTTACATTTCTACTCTCTTTTTTATGTTAATTCATGGAAATTTTTTTATAAATATTTCCATAATCGATTTTAGGGCTTTCGTTTAAATTTCTCACATGGTCCTCAAAATCTTAGGACCGACCCTGCTAGCATTCATATAATGTATTGTATGTGAGTTTAGCATGTTATCACCATTCTCAATAAATAAAAAAATTTTAAAAAGAAAAAAAGAAAAAAAAAGGAGTAAACCTCTCCATTCTAGTCCAATTTGCAATCCCTAAAACCAGATAATCAGTTTTTTTTATTTGAGGCAGACAAGAAAGCCACGAGGCCTAGAACTGAGTGAGGCACTCTACCAATAAAGTAATACACGTGGCAACGTGGCAAGCCACTTGCACTGCATGCACAACGACAACGCACAGGCACACCCTCTTTTTCTTCTATTTTTTGGGTTCTTTTGGCTGACTTCATCTTCATCTTTGTTTACCCAGCTGATGCATGAAACTGTGAAAAGTATTTGGAAGAGTAAAATAGTAGAAAATTGGCCCCAAAAAGAGTTCGAAAAAACAAAATGGCTGATGCAGCTTATAGCAGGCTAGTCGAAGGAGAGGAGATTATTATTGGAGCTGAAGAAACTAGCAACAATATTAATGGAGGTTATATTAGCAAGAAGAGTGAGAGACCAAAAGAGCCATGGAAAGGGGAGTATGCTAAAAGCATTTTGTATGCCGGTCTTGATGCCATTGTCACTTGCTTCTCTCTCATTTCCTCTATCTCTGCTAGTCGTATTTCCTCTGGTAAGAAATCATAGTTTTATTTCTTTAATTTCCTCTTTGCTTATATATGCATGTCTTACAACCCAAAAGAAGGATACAGAAAACAAAACCCAGGTGAAAATAATCAACATATTTTTAGTGTGGTAGAGCTTTTATGAATGTAGACGACGAAGGTGACTATAATAATTAGCATCTACAACTGTGTGTTTGAAGTGGATGTATTGGTGCTTGGATTTGCAAACCTGGTGGCAGATGGGATATCAATGGGGTTTGGAGATTTTATGTCCAGCAGCAGTGAAAAGGATGTCGCCGCCAAAGAACGGGCGGTGACCGAATGGGAAGTCGCTAATCACAGTGGCCCTGAGGAGCTGGTGGAGTTGCTTCGGCGATATCAAGCACTTGGGATGAATGTTAACGACGCTACTACGGTACGCTAGATCTTCCTCTAGAACTTAAAGAAATGTTTGAACAAATTTTGAAAAGCCTATGCAATAGAGGGAGAAAAAAAAGTTGTGAAATTTTGAATCTAATGGGAATGTGATGCTCAACTTGTTTAACATTGTATATGCATTGGGACTAAAATGTAGTAGCTGGAACTCAATTTGCTTGGACTAGGTTGTGAACATTTTCGCCAAATACAATAACATCTTGGTGCATGAGAAGATGATGGCTCATGGAATGCTACAGCCCGATGAAGCAGAAAAGCCATGGAAGAATGGCCTGGTCACATTTGCAGCCTTCCTTGTGTTTGGCAGTGCTCCTCTCCTCTCCTTCATCATCCTCATCCCATTTACGAACAACGACTCGGTTAAGTTTGTTGGTGCTTGTATCTTGTCTGCGCTTGCCCTAGCGCTTCTTGGGGCTGCAAAGGCCAAGATTGCAGGCCAGAACTACGCATTTTCTGTGGCTGTTACTCTCTTCAATGGCGCCATTGCTGCAGCTGCTGCTTATGCCTTGGGGTGGGCACTTAAGAATATAGCTGGCCTAGAAAACTGAAGACAACATGCCAAAAAAAGAGTAGACCGCCTAATTTCAAAAAATTTGGAGGCCTTTGTGCGCCTAGGAATGTTTTTGTATGCTACACCGCATATTTGGGTATTTGCAGTTATGGGCTGTGAACAATGTGGCCTGCAACTTTCCTTTTCCTTCTGTTTTCTGTTCTTTTTTTGTCTCGCCCTAAATCTAAGGGATAAAAAGCCTACACTAATGACTAAATGTCGAACAATTAATATACAGTAGACTAAAAATCCCTGCATAGTTTATTCAAGTGGTTACCAGAATGGTTGGCACCAAAGTTTGCAATTTTTTTTTGGTGAAAACCAAGGTATCCCCCGTGCGATTGCGGGGACTAACCCTCGAGGTACTGTCGGGCGCAAAGCGGGGACCTCTTCCAACAAAATCTGCTCTATTCGCAAGCGCCTGGGATCGAACCCAGGACCTCTTGTTTAAAGGATCCAAGCCCCTTCCACTTGGACCAACTCCTGTTGGTAAAGTTTGCAATTTTCAGCTCTTTACATTTCACATGGGAATAAAAATGTTCTCAGTATACAAGAGTTCGAGTACGTGATTATCCTCTACAGTAACCAAAAGAAGTTGGGAAGGAAAATTTGAGTGCCTTATTAGACGGAAAAAATCAATACATGATGAGTAGAAATGCACCAGAAAGAATAATTACAAGAACCAAGAGTCAAAACTCAGCTTCTTCACTAACATTATTCTGTGATGTACATCACTGCCTGCAAAGGCTAGCTCAAGTAGGCAATAAAGCAAGAATTTATGCAAACAATTAGTTGCCCTCGCTGAGGGCTAATTCCAGGGCGTGTTCCGCTTCCTTAAGGAATAATCGAGTGAGTTGCTTCTGCCCTCTTCTATATACAATACTAGCCCACACGTTTCTACTCATCAACTTGTATTGTTGTGTACAGCCACTGCCATTTGTCTCTTGACTGCAGCCAGCAAAAGAAAAGAGAAATCCCAGATTAACAAGCATATTGAGTTTCTCTCCCAAGATTTTTTGTGTTAAGAAAGGAGACAATTGAAGTTAGAGATAGAAAACTACAATGATCGCGTCGACACAAAATACAAAGTACTACGGAAATTTGTAGTTTGAATTTAGATCACATCCTTTCTATTTGTATGAGTGAGCATGTAACTTATGAAGTGCTCTACTTCCAACATCACATAAAAAACTTAAAATTTCTAAAGTTCCTTCTGATGTCAGAACTGGAAAAAACTAATTTAAAGACAAAGAGTTGGCATATGAAGACACCTTTTTGTTATTTGTAGGATATTTGGTCTATTATATCCTAGAACTTGAATGCACATCAGAAAAATCACTTTACATCTTAGATTGGTAGACACGGGGCAGCCTAAGCTTTCAAAAAGATCAGCAATACTCAACATTTTTTTCAACTTTTAAATGACTAATCTATTGCAGTGAGAAAACAACCATAATGTCAAAAGATGGTACCTTAAACTGTTCTCATCTGTATGCTGGTTTGCACTTTCAACAATATGTGCGTTTTTAAGCAAATTGGTGTCGCTGTCCTCTGTACCAGAAGATTCTAGAAGATCCGTCAACCTTGCATACAAAAATTTGGTTAGGTAGCCAACTATGTAACTTTTTTTTTCTTTGGACAATAGGTGGTAAATAGCCCTTTAGCCCTTGAATTTGTGCAATCATGCCAGTTTCTGATGGATCTCATATTCATGTTACAAGTGGAGGCACGCAGATTTGAGAAGTTTCACACTTACTAAATATGTTGCTAAATTATCAGCAAACTAACATTTGATGATGGTTTCTACTGGTTACCTCACGTTAAGAAGATCAACGAGTAATTGCAAAGCTCCGGAATCACCACAAGCCTCCCATACAGCTGCTCGAACTTCTGAATCAGATGGTTGCCTCCCCCCTCCAGATCTTACAAGCTTCAAATAAAAGATTCAACTTGGGGTAATAATCATGGAGCAAATGATTCAAAACAGACATGCCCATTGTAACTTCACTTTGATATAAATATTTTAAGCATATGTGACAGGTTGCACGGCTTTCATTAACTCTCTTATTGAATCACCACTCTTCCAGAAACATGTTTAAATTTATATTTTTTGAAAGAGTCATAATTTCTCACAATTTCCATTGGTAATTAATACTTAAGTAAAAGAAGAATGATCTTTCAATATATAATCCTAGATCCCATCCCGAGGAATAACCATTTACATAAACGGTAAAATTCTCAGTTTTCTCAAAGCTTATATTATTCGAGGCCTGAGCCTTTCGTTGCAAGGTTACTTTTGTTGCTACAGCCAGCTCTTCACTTTACGATAAACATTAAGTTCTAACATAAACCATTGTAAAGACGAGAATGTAACCTGATAGATCTACAAATTTAGGATTTGACCGCTAGATGGTGTGCCATATTAACGAGCACATCTTCAGTTTCAAGTTTACTTTTCTTTTCCTCCTCTTTATGAGGTCTTCTTTCTTATTTAAAAAAATAGAAATAATGTTTAAGTCATTTCATGTGACCCACAACTTACTGAAACACCATTATGCATATGCTTAGCTAGTAAAAGCTGAAATGGCAAGGTTTTTTATGCAAGAAATTACATACGTAAAGAATATTTACCTCTTCCAGCAGAGATGAAACCTGAAACAGCTCATCCTCCTGCATGGCTATGGTCCTCAAGGCTGTCAAGAAGTTCTCAGGAAAAACCAATCTGTGTAAGTATGTTGGCATCTTGCGCTGACCACTCCAACTATAGCTACAAACATGGTCAAGTTTGCACTTATCATCCCCTTCTTTATTTGAGATGTCTACTGGGAAAAAGCCATGATCCAGTAAACTTCTAGGTAACAGACATCTCATTTCGGCCTTCTGTGAACAACCAGGTTTTTGAATAATAAATCACATTTTCTTTGGAAACAAAAAAGTAATTCAGAAATTTCTCCATTGATCCCCTTAAATTTTGACTCGCACTGTTGATTTTCTCCTCGAATTAATGAAATTCAAAAGCAAACAATAGCTGACCTGTGCTTCAAGAAGCTGTGATTTTGAGTCAGAGAAGGGAACACTTTGAATTGCTTCCATTGGATAATGGACCTGAATAAACAACCTACCATTAATTATGCATGTACCAAGTCAGCTCAAAGCAATTCGTTGCCTGTAAATATGGCCCTAGATGGAACAAAATGACAGAAACAGGTATAAAAACAACACACATACAACACCAAAGAGTGAAGGTGAAGTTTCTTTGAATCAAGTTTGAAACAACATCACCACTAAGAGTCATTAATTTAACTAACAAAAGAACATTCAAGACAAGGCCACACAAGCTAAATCCAATATAGAGGCATTACCATGAGATAGTCATCTGGATTACCATCAAGGACGAAACCATAGAGATAAAGTAGTTCCTGCATCAAACACAACATAATGGCTCTCACTCAGAAAGTTGATGAAGCTTTTCATATGATGAAGTGGATGAGAAAAACATGATCTGGGATAGCACTAAGCAGAGACAAAGTAGTTTGAAATAGAGTTTTCCAAACGAGAATGCATGCTCAAAGGATAAAAAATAGTTCACATGCAATGCAAAAAGTAGCACAAATGAAACACAATTCCAGAATACAAGCAGAGGGCAAAGGCAACCAACCACTTTGAGGATATTATGTTAAGTTACAAGGAAGAAGAGCAAGTCACCAGTTAAGAGGTATGCAGAGAAAGCACTACATTCTAAAAGTAAGTTTGGTATCAAATGACAACAGACAATACCTCATTTCCTTTGTTACCATAACTTATAGAAATTTCTCCCTGAATCTGCAAAGGTTGGACAGCTTTCCAATTGAAGGGGAAAAAAGAAGAGGAATATAAGTAAGATAACCAAGCAAATTGAACCAACGAAAAGAAATGAAAACTAGTAAAACTTCATAAGAAATTGTCAAAATGCATATGTATACACAATGAAACCATTTTGGGATCTCATAACTCAGTTACATAGAAAAAAAATAACAGAAGTGGAGGAATGGAAACAAGTATTGTGAAAATTCAATAGCAACAGTCATGGTTGCATAAAACATGTACGCTATGAAACCAATACGAGATCTTATGATTACCTACAACATAAAAATATTGATTTTCAGCAAGAAAAATGAGCTACAAACTGCTGATAGAAACAGAATACTACCAGAAAGAAGGTACATAGAAAAAGGAATTCCAGTTGTTGATCCAGTGTCATCAACTTCCCACGTTGCTGCCGCCTTTAGAT